CTTCATTTTAATAGTATTTTGAGCCAAAAGCCACCAAATATTTTATTTTGAACGTTTTAAAGATGCGGTACAGTCCGTATGTAAACAAAGGCTTTGTTTACATTTCGGTATCCAAAATATTGAATTTTATTCGACAACTATTTATATTTTCATGATTCTAGAGTATAATAAATTATCAAGAGACAACAATCAAGCTTTGCAAGAACATAAAATGAAATAAAAACCTAAATAAACTGTTTGTAAATAAAAAGAGGGCTCCTTTGTGCACATGCGCAGATCAGACTGTGCCGCATCTTTAAAGCGCAGTTTAATCCTAGCGTACGGACCAACTGGCGGCTGACAGTCTTGAAGAAATAGAATGTAGCGTACTATAAAATATAACTTTACTTGTAGGGCCTACCGCATTTTAGTACTGTGTTACATGTAAGCCTTTCGTGCCGGTATCGACTTTTCCGCTTAGCTCGGGGAAGACCTTAAATCTTAATTGAAATAGTTGTGTACTGTATGTATCATGTACAGTAATGTGCGTATTTGTATAGCCCTAGACTCGCGGGTTCAAGTCCGTCTCTCAAGGGGTTGAAAATAGCGATGCACGCGAGCGGTCAAAAAAGTTGCGAAAATAGGAGAGACGGACTTCAACTAACCTGAAGTTCAGGCTCTAACAAACAAAGTCTAGTATAGCCCCAGCGAGTTAACGCTCCGCAGATCGTCTTGTTTTGATATAATCTGTAAATAAACATGACATTGACGGTTATATTTATGCAAAGGCGGAGCCAACTTGACAAGGGCGAAAGTGGGTGTATTTCGTTTCTTGATGTGTTGTCGGCAGTCCCTCCTTTCTCCGAGGGACTGCTCGCGGTCTATCTCTTTCTCTTTATACTCAAATACCTTTTTTATCTTTTAAAAATTTTACAATAGCTGTTTTCTTGGCTTTAAACCTCGACTTAATGTTCCTCGAGCAGTTTCTTGTGCGACCAGTGTGACATCTTCTGCTTGATTACTCTCCTCATCGTTTGCAGTTTTTAGTGCAAAGTTTCACTTTGCTAATTTGCTGTTAGGTGGCAAGGTGAGACGAGGCATGTATTCATAATCTATATATCTATCCTATATCTATTCATACACACATGCAGTCAGAGAGTAAACTTTCCGGGGGGACTATACGATTTATGTTTGTAGAGATTTATTGTATTTAGTCATTACTTTTAGTCATTACTTAGGCAATTTCAGTTGTCTTATTTAAATAATCTTTTGTCCTTTTGCTAAGTTCACAAAAAATTTCGAGGAATCGTTGTCGTTATTGTAGTTTTTTGTAATTTTTATAACATTTGCTTCTCATGTTGTGTAAAGGATCTTTAGCCCGGAACACCCGATTTTTTCTTTAGCAGCGCAAATCGCATCCGCTATCAAGCCGTAGATCACGATGGCGTGACGATGCTAGGAAGGAGCGAAAGTGTTGTTTTCAAATGTATAATTATAACATTTCAGACGTGAATATTGAGTAAATCTTTGAGTATCTACGCAATATATAAACAGATGTTATGCATTACGGGCATTCAATCAAGTACCGATATTATTAGGCGGTATATTCATTATACAGAGTTAGGGAGGAGCTAGACACTGCTTTTTAAATGTATAAACATTTCAGAGTGAAGATTGAGTAAATCTTCGAGAATCTACGCAATATATAAATTGATGTTATGCATTACGGTCATTCAATCAAGTACCGATATTATTTAGGCGGTATATTCATTATACAGAGCTATGAAGGAGCTAGACAGTGCTTTTTTTCAAATGTACAAACATTTCAGACGTGAATATTGAGTAAATCTTTGAGAATCTATACGCAATATATAAACCGATGTTATGCATTACGGCGGGGCATTCAAACAAGTACCGATGTTATTTAGGAGGTATATATTCATTATACAGAGCTAGGAAGGAGAAGACACTGCTTTTTTCAAATGTATAAACATTTCAGAGTGAAGATTGAGTAAATCTTCGAGAATCTACGCAATATATAAATTGATGTTATGCATTACGGTCATTCAATCAAGTACCGATATTATTTAGGCGGTATATTCATTATACTGAGCTAGGAAGTAGGAAGGAGCTAGACAGTGCTTTTTTTCAAATGCATAAACATTTCAGACGTGAATATTGAGTAAATCTTTGAGAATCTACGCATTATATAAATTGATGTTATGCATTACGGTCATTCAATCAAGTACCGATATTATTTAGGTGGTATATTTATATTATACAGAGCTAGGAAGGAGCTAGACAGTACTTTTTTCAACGTAAATATTGAGAAAAACTTTGAGATTCTACCCAATATATAAATTGATTTTATGCATTTATACGGGCATTTAATATAATCAAGTGCCGATATTATTTTGATGGTATATTCATTATACAGAGTTAGCAGGGAGCGAGGCAGTGTTGTTTACAAATGTATAATTATAAACATTTCAGATGTGCATATTCAGAAAATCGTTGAGATTCTACGCCCCGTTCTAAATAGATAAATTGATGTTATGCATTACCTGTATTCAATTAAGTGCCGATATTATTTAGGCGGTAGGCCTATATTCATTATACAGCGACTGTATAAGGTACTACACCATGGAATAGATGGCTACACTCAGTACACTAGCTAGTACACTGAAACCACAGAAGCCTATAACACTCCGTATAAACACTCCTGTCACTGTATAGACTTGCTCCAAGTCTCTCTTTCATTGTCATATGGTATCGATCCACTATAGTGTGCATTACATGACGTAGCACGGGGAGGCGGAGCGAGAAAGAGAGACTTGTCAACTTCGGAAAATTTCGGTTCAAAACTGAACGGAAAATGCAAGTCTTCCTTTAATTGTTTTCCTTCAATTTCTTTCTGTATTATTTACGATAATGGAACTCATGTTATTTACACTGTGCTAGATTTCAATACATATAAACACTGACAGAAAACAATTAAAGCAAGTCTTGCATTTTCGGTTCAGTTTTGAACCGAGATTTTCCGAAGTTGACAAGTCTCTCTTTCTCGCTCCGCCCCTCCGTACTACGTCATGTAATGTACACTATAGTGGATCAATATAACAATGAAAGAGAGACTTGGAGCAAGTCTAATCACTGTACCGAATTACTGAAACCACACATACAGCACGTGCGTGTTTGGCTCTCTAAATATAGAAATGATTATTGAGTTCAGAGGTCAATTTGGAAATTACGGAGTGCGCAGTTTTGATTGCAGAGTACGGATGGAGTCTTTCAAAACATAGTTTATTTTTCCTAAAGGTCCACGCCTGGCATTTTTGCACGCGAAATTGCGACAATTTTGGGAGCTTGGTAGCGAATTTGATAATTGAAAAATTCCTCAAATTCCGCGAGGCGTGCTTGTGCGCGTTTTCCTTGAGGGTTATTTAAGGTAAACAGGGAAACAGAGCGTTTCTCGGGGATCAAAATGATATCAAGATTACCATGGTTACGCGGAATGTTTTGCTGTGCAGGCATTGAACTAAAAATAACTTTTAGTTCACTGTGTGCAGGTATTTTTAGTTCACTGTGTGCAGGAGCGCTTGTTGTTCGGGGCATTTGAGGGAAATGGCAACTTTCGCATCATGTTGTCAAAATGCAACAACTTCGGCTTGTATAAGATTCTTTCTACAGTGTTATTTTCATTTTGTTTTTGAATCCAATACAAGTCAAGATACCTATTAAAAAATCGTATGTTTTTTGTTTTTGACAAAATGTGCTAGAAAAGATAATATTATACCTTTTACAAAGGCATGCACGCAATAAAATATTCGATGTTGGAAAGTATATGCGAAAGACACAGTTAGGCTGTTGGCAGTTGAAGAGGAGAACAAAAATGCACTATGTACAGCTCAGGAGCTTAAGCGATTAGATTCCAAGGTAAGAAAGGTTTTACATATCTCTTGTATTTTTTGTAATCGAGTTTCTGATTTATCATGGTCTTTTATTCAATATATATCTTCATATTATGAACTGAGCCCATCTTGATCGTGCTATACACTGGTTTATTCTTGTCATGATGATAAATTTATATTCGCGCACAATTTTTGTCTACCACAGTACTTATTGAACTTGAAGCTCACAATTGGGTTGGCTTTAAATAGTATAAGTTTATAGTTTAATAATTAAAAATAGATATGCTATAAGTGATATAAAACAAACTATTATCTAGTCTAATGGGTTAGCATATTTGCAAAATTGTAAAGCGCCTTAACACTTAGAAGTGTTAAGGTGTGTAAGCGCCTCTGCCCATCGGCACTAGGGCCAGGCCCCTGGACAAAATATAGGCGAAGGCAACGGTTTATCGAAGAGTATTTGCACTAGCTGTTGTGTTATAGTTTTACTGATTTATAAGTTTTGGTTGTGCGATCTGGACACAAGCGGGAAGAAATCGGTATATATATATACTTTCTTTACGATATTGACTCGCTATTTTCGGTTATAACTTACATTAATGCATGTTTTGTATTGTATTGTATGTAGTTGACATCTTCTATCATCTATCGTTGAACATTCTATGCGTGTGCGTGTGTTCTTTGCGTGATACTTGGTAGTTGCTAGTGAACAACAACTCCCTTGATGTGCCCAGATATATGCGTCCCTATAAAAGTCGAAGTAGAACAAAGAATTGCGATAAAACGAGTGGGAGTTACAGTCAACGATTTCCCTCGTAAATACTACAACGAACCCTTTTATTCATAGAAAAACACGATCTTACTAAGATATATTACGAGAAAACATTTGGCGAAGTGTACTACCTTGATTGGGGATTCTGTAAACTTGATTCATCGCGAAATTCTATCGAAATATTGGTCCTAAAATCCTAAATACAGTTACGTGCTTGAATTTATAAAACGTTCACTGAACGTACGAACGCGCCATTTTGAATTTTCCATGTGGTCGTAATCGGAGGACTTCGGAGACCTCTCGGAACGAAATCGGAAATTTGCAAAAAACCTCGAAAAATGGCGGATAAAAACGTCGAATCGGGTGGAACTTCAAGTAAAACCGAAAAAACTGATAAAACAGATAAAACGAACGCGGAAACTTTACGCTACGACGAATTAGAAACGAGTTTGATCCACATTTCGAAGAAAAGATCAGAAGATATCTTTCACAATACAACTAAAGCGTGGAGAAAGCAAATCAACCACGTTCAAGGAAAATTAGTAAATTGTACTGAAATTGCATCATTACAAAACGACTGTTGCATTTTGGAACAATGCATGAAGGATTTAACGAAAGCTCACGAGGAATTGGAAAGTGTCATTGAGTCTCCGGTTGAGAAAATTGCTCTTTTCGGAAAATTTGAGGACATGAGCAAGGAAAACAACAAGGTTGTACAGCAAGTGTGTCAGACAATAAGGGACATGAAATTTGACGCTGAGGACAATTATTCCGTGACATCTCGAAGATCTGGTAGAAGCCACATTTCTCGTAGGTCACACCGAAGTAATCTGTCTCGATGTTCAAGGGTCAGCACTACGTCATCGAACAGACAGAGGAGGCAAGAACTGGAAGAGAATGCAGCCGTGCTCAAGGCCAAAATGCGTATTGCTCGTGAGAAGGAGAAATTCGATCAAGCAAATCGATTGGCCTTACAAGAAATTGAAGGCAAACTACAAGAGATTCAAAACGAAGAGCGGAAGGTTAAAGAGCAAATTACTCTTACTGATGAAAGATTCAAGATTAGAGAGGAACTCGCCGAAGCGGAAGCTCGAATTGACGTCTGCACACGGTTCGAGGGTGAAGAAGAATCATTCAGAACCATCGAAGAGATCCCTTGTGGTGATAATGCACACGATCGCGTCGAGCGCTTCCTCCAGTCTCAGTCGGCACCAGACGCATCACCCTTAACAGAATTGGAGCATCCTGGAAACTTCACCTCCAACCAAGAGGCAAGTCCCACGACACCTGTAGAGAATCAAGCGGTCAGTACGTTGAATCCTGACGCTCGTAACTATACACCGCCTACAGCGAATGATTCCTCACAGTACGAACAAAGACAACCGAATGTGACAAGTACGAACGAAGCTCATCACTCCATTTCAGACATAGAGAACCCGAACATCTTACAAACCCACCTCACTGCTCTAAACAAGTTAGTAGAAAGTCATGCCCAAAGTCGTCTCCCCCTTCCAAAACCAGAAGTCTTTAATGGTGACCCACTAAAGTTTCCAATTTGGCTTAAAGCCTTTGAAACATTAATCGAAACACGTGCGACTAATTCCACTGAACGACTACATTTCCTCGGAAGGTACGTTGGTGGCGAAGCTAAGGATGTCATAGATGGATATATGCTGATGGACGGAGAAGACGCGTATCTGAAAGCCAAGGAAATGTTATCTAAACGTTACGGAGATCCATTCGCAGTTGCCTCGGCATTCCGCAAGAAATTGGAATCCTGGCCTCAAATCCCACCACAAGATGGTTTGGCATTGCGAAGATACGCAGATTACCTGGTGCAATGCGAAAAGGCGATGGAAAGGGTCGACAGTTTGAAGGTTTTGAACGACGACCAAGAGATACATAAGATGTCTTCCAAACTACCCAAATGGGCTCTCACAAGATGGGGCAGAAAGGTTTACGCTTGGAAGAACGAGAAGAAGAGATTCCCCCCATTTGCTGAGTTTGTGAAGTATGTCGTGGTTGAAGCAGACATTGCGTGCGATCCAATGAACTTGAGCCAACGGAAGATAGAGATCTATTCAAGGGGACCTCGAAGACAAAGGGACTATGGAAATTTCAGACGTACACCTCGAGAATCAAACCGCGATGAGTTTGCTAGATCATTGGCAACAAAGGTTAATGAAGAAGATGCGAGTAAGGGCAAGACCGAAGAAGTCCAATGCGCAATGTGCGGAAAGGCCCATGAATTGGAATCCTGTAAGAACTATATGGATATGGAGGTCAAAGCGAGGAAAGAGTTTGCAAAAACGAAAGGACTCTGCTTTGGATGCCTTGGAAAGGGACATTTGTCGAGGGATTGCAAGAGACGGAAAAAGTGCGACTCATGCAAAAGGGCTCATCCAACATCCCTGCATGGAGACCTGAAGGGCGAATCTAAAGAGACTGAACCCTCTCGAACGGAAAACCAAACGGAACAACGGGCAGCCTATTGTACCAAATCTGGCACTTCCAAGGAAGAACGTGATGGAATAGTGAGTTCAATGATCATTCCCGTGTGGTTGCAACATGCAAATCATCCCGAAAATGCCGTGCTCGTATACGCCCTCCTCGACGATCAGTCTGATAGCACGTTCGTCTCCGAAAGCACCCTTAGCAATCTTGGAATCGAAGGTCATCCGACACAAATTTCACTTTCCACTATGAATGTCGCAAACGAGATCATTCAAACCAGCAAAGTCAACGGCCTCGTGGTGAGCGACTTCAAGCGTAACTCTGAGATACAACTTCCGCGAGTATTCTCCTGCAAGGCTATCCCAGTAAAGAGATCGCAAATTCCACGTCCAGAGATGGCAACAAAGTGGTCCCATCTAGCAAAGATAGCAACTGAATTGTCACCCTATCATAGTGACATCGAGGTGGGATTGTTGATAGGTGCGAACTGTCCTCGTGCCATTGTACCACGAAAAGTTCTGCCCGGACGAGGTAACGAACCCTATGCTCAGCAGACAGAGTTAGGATGGGGAATAGTCGGAAACATAACCAACGACGAGGACGATTCGGATGAAATCGAAGATGTCGTGCACAGAATCGCTACTCAATCAATCTGTGCTGCTCAAACCCACGAAAGAGCATGCACCTTTCGCGTGACGACGTCGGCCAAAGAAGTTATCAATCCACAGGAAATCAGACGCATGATGGAGTGGGATTTCTCCGAAAGAAGCGTAGACCACAACCCAATCTCCTTGGATGACATGAACTTCCTAGAACAATTAAAGATTGGAATTCACAAGACACCTAACGGCCACTATGAAATGCCACTCCCATTCCGTAACGGATCGCCAGAGCTACCAAGCAACAAACTGCTAGCATTGCGTCGGCTACAAGGGCTGAAGACACGACTGCAGAAAGATCAACGCTATCACCAACACTACAAATCCTTCATGAATGATCTACTCCAAAGAGGTTACGCCGAACCCGTTCCCGAAGTGGAATCGAACGTTGGAAGCAAAATATGGTACATTCCGCATCATGGGGTCTACCACCCTCAGAAGCCCGATAAACTTCGTGTCGTGTTTGACTGTAGCGCAAGTTATCATGGCGAGTCACTTAACCAACACCTGTTACAAGGCCCCGACCAAACAAACGGTTTAATCGGTGTCTTATCAAGATTTCGACAGTACCCTATCGCGTTTTCCTGCGACGTCGAAGGCATGTTCCATCAGTTCCACGTGAGTGCGGAACATCGAAACTACTTAAGGTTCCTATGGTGGGAGAATGGAGATGTCTCTAAGGAACCAAACGAATATAGAATGACGGTCCACCTATTTGGTGCAACCTCGTCCCCAGGTTGCGCAAATTATGGGCTAAAGGCTATTGCAGAAAACAACAAGCAAGAATTCGGCGAAGACGTTGCGAACTTTGTTAAACGGGACTTCTATGTCGACGACGGACTGAAGTCTTTAAAGTCAGTTCCAGAAGCTGTGTCGATCATCCATAAGACAAAGGATATGCTTTCTCGTGGCGGCCTTCGGTTACACAAGTTCGTGTCGAATTCAAAGGACGTCTTGTCTACAATTTCTCCCGATGATCGAGCGTCAAATCTGAAGGATTTAGATTTCAATGACGGTCCCCTCCCTGTGGAGCGAACCTTGGGTACACAGTGGTGCATCGAGTCCGATTCGTTTAAGCTACGAATAATCTTACAGCTCAAGCCCTGTACGCGCCGCGGAGTCCTGTCTACCATCAGTTCCATATACGATCCCCTTGGGTTCGCCGCTCCCTTCCTGTTAATTGGAAGACAGATCCTCCAAGACCTATGCCGAGACCAAGCAGATTGGGATGATCCGGTTCCAGAGGAAGAGCGCCAAAGATGGGAGAAGTTTAGAAGGAACTTACTTATGCTCGACAAGTTGAAAGTTCCTCGGTGTGTCGCGCCAACTGGATTTGAAGAAGTAACCTCTGTCGAATTACATCACTTCTCGGACGCTAGTACTACCGGTTATGGACAGTGCTCCTACATCCGCCTTGTCAACTCAGAGCAAGAAGTTCATTGCGCCTTCATCATGGGAAAATCTCGAGTGGCACCGCTCAAGCACATCACGATCCCTCGCCTCGAACTATCAGCAGCCCTTGTCGCAGTTAAGGTGAGCACCATGCTTAACATTGAACTTAGTTATGAGAACATTGTTAACGTATTTTGGACCGACAGCAAGGTGGTGTTGGGATATATCAGCAACGATTCGAGACGGTTTCAAGTGTTTGTAGCAAACCGCGTACAACAAATACGAAACGCCACGTCACCCCAGCAGTGGAATCACGTAGAAAGCGAAGATAACCCGGCCGACGATGCCTCGAGAGGTTTGAAAGCAGAACAGCTCGTCGAAGATACACGATGGTTGAACGGCCCTGCCTTTCTTTGGAAGCCAGACCTTCAATTGCCCACCCAACAGAGATGGATGCCTGCAGATGACGACCCGGAAGTGAAGAAGGTTAAATCGCTCGCAACCGCAACGGTCGAAACCAAATGTTCGTCGATGCTTGATCGTTTGAACTATTTCTCATGCTGGTACCGAGCGACACGTGCGATCGCGAATTGTATGAATCTCAAGAATCGTTTGAAATGCCGTATCTCAAACCGCAGTTCCTCCGATAAGCAAACGAAGAGCTCACCGGTAATCAACGTAGAGGATCTTCAAAGGGCGGAGTCAGAGATAATACAAATGGTTCAAGAGAAAGAGTTTCCAGAAGAGATGAAAATACTGCGTTCACTTCAGAAGAAAGACCCTAACCGTAAAGAAACAGTGAAAATTAAGGCATCACTAAAGAAAACGAGCTGTCTCTATCGACTGGAGCCATTCCTCGACCCCTGTGGTGTACTACGCGTCGGAGGACGACTAAAGAAATCAGATCTCCCTTATCACGTGAAGCATCCCGCTGTCCTCCCCAGGAAAGGACATTTAACCACCCTGATAATACGACACTACCATCAGAAGACTGCTCATCAAGGACGCGGTATGACGGTGAACGAGTTGAGATCTAACAGGTATTGGATAATCGGCGGTAGTTCGGCCGTTGGATATTACATCAGCGATTGTGTTGCTTGTCAAAAACGCCGAGGAAACGTCCAAGAACAAAAAATGGCGGACTTACCCGAAGACAGGATGAAAACAGAAGCCCCCTTCACGTATTGTGGTGTTGATTACTTTGGTCCATGGCTCATTAAGGAATGAAGAAAAGAGTTGAAACGCTACGGAGTACTCTTTACATGCTTGTCATCTCGTGCGATCCACATTGAAGTGGCCAAGACGTTGGAAACCAGCTCATTTATTAACGTTCTTCGATGCTCTCTGGCAAGACGAGGTCCCATCCGTCAGCTACGCTCAGACCAAGGTACGAATCTGGTAGGAGCACGAACAGAACTACGCGAGATCTTGAAGCAAATGGACCAGAACGAAGTTCAGCAGTTTTTGCTCAAACGAGAGTGCGACTGGTTCGAGTTTAAATTGAATACCCCCACTGCGAGTCATGCTGGCGGCGTGTGGGAACGGATGATTCGAACAGTACGAAGTGTGCTCGACGGACTACTCGAACAACATGGTACCCAATTAGATGAAGAATCACTACGCACGCTGCTCTGCGAAGTCGAGTGTATCGTGAACAGCCGTCCAATAGCAGGAACAAATACTCCGGAAGAAGAGCCGCTAAGACCGAACCATTTACTGACGATGAAGACGCGAGTATTAATGCCACCCCCTGGCGAATTTCAAAGGAACGACATCTACCTCGTGAAAAGATGGCGACGAGTTCAATACCTCACGAATTGCTTCTGGGAACGATGGAGAAAGAGCTACTTAATGTCGTTGCAAGAGAGACAAAAATGGAACAAGCCGCGTCGTAACATCCAAGTTGGAGATATCGTTTTGCTGATCTACCAATCAATCGCCCGTAATCATTGGAAAACTGCACGAGTGGAAGAAGCGTATCAAGATGAAGATGGACTGGTGCGTAAAGTGAAAGATATATGCGTCCCTATAAAAGTCGAAGTAGAACAAGGAATTGCGATTTAACGAGTGGGAGTTACAACGCTTAGAAGATTGATAAAATTGGACGAACTTTAAAAGTGAAACAGTAACCACGTGTAACTTTATCCTTGTGTGTCTATCCGGGTGAATGGCGCTTTTCTATATAATGGACAATGACTATGAGTCCCTTGTTACAAACGTTTTATAATGTGACCGTTGTGTGTTAAGCTTTGCTCGATTTTTTATATTTGTATTTGTTTTTGACTGACTGATGCATGTGTGAACCAAGTCTTTTGGTTCCTGTTTTGATTAATGTGTCTGAAAAATCGTGTAGTTGATACTTGATAGAATCTTTATAGACGGAGTTTTCAATCTTGTGTTACTGTTTAGTTTAACCTATAAAGCTTTTCGTTATTTGACGGATTAACTCCTTCACCAACAACAAATGATAGTAACAACGTACCTCACAAGTCTATTAACTAATAGACACGTAAAACAGATCACAGAAATAAAATGCCGTTTGATAAGGTGTTGACCCAAGCGAATAATAATTCTTAAAGCAACGCAACCTTTGAACCCTCATCTTTTAAACTTGCGCAGCTACGGCACTGCGCCAATAATTCACTTGCCTTTTATAATAAAATTTGAACCCTCACCTTTTGCACTTGTGGCCTTTTACTGTGATATATAAACTAATTGCTTCTAATCTTGATAGCTTTAACAATTTATGCTTGACCTTAAACAATTTATATCATTTGCGATATTACCCAGTGTGCCCGCAAAGCATTGGAATGCTTTGCGGGCAAAAAACTTAAAAACTTAAATTTCTCTGCCTCTGGTATATACCGTATATATCAATATATATATCAATATATATATCAATATATATATATCAATATATATATATCAATATATATATCAATATATATATATCAATATATATATATCAATATATATATATATATATATATATATATATATATATATATATATATATATATATATATATATATATATATATATATATATATAGTATATATATATATATATATATATATATATATATATATATATATATATATATATATATATATATATATATATATATATATATATATATATATATATATATATATATGCCTCCTCGGGTTTTGGCCCTCTGGGGCCAAAACTCTGCGGGGGGGGCAATTAACCTTAAGTAGCTGGGCTCTGCTCTTTATCTTTAAATTAAGATTTTCGCCTGGTGTATCAATTGCCACAGTTTTAGAAACTACCTGAAAAATACAGAACTATGACGTTTCGAGTGAAAGCCTTTCGTCGGGATGTTACCTGCCTACATCAATACAGTATACCTACACTGCTGCTGTTTGTTATCGTCGCTATACCTATACAATAGAGAAGTTCAGATTTGACTTCCACTACCGCTACCACTACCTCTCACTGGTTTATAGTAGCTACCCATCTAATTGGTTAACAGGGCAGGAAAAAATAATTTTCTTCCTGGGAGCACAACCTGGAGACAAAAATTTCCTGCAGACCAACGGAGTATTTTTGTGCTAAATCTGCATGTGCATAAACATATAGCGTTCTAGCTGACCATGGTTTTAGATTCAAGGAATAATGTCTGTCAACCATATGTTGTTGTGCCCATATAGTGGGTCATGGGTGTTAAGGTTTCCTTCAAATTTTCAATAGCAAATCTTCATTCAAAAACGAATTTCCTGCGGCTGTTCAACAATTCCTGCGAGCAGTGCTCGCGTGCTCGCCTATTTTTGGTTAATCGGATATATCAAACGCATTTGATTGGTTAATCGTTCCTTAATAGTAGTGGAAGTCAAATCTGACTGCAGAATACTCGATATTTTTAGGCAGAAATTTTAGCGCACCTGTGATGTAATTTTTGCCCTTTAATCTGCCCTCGTATTTTTAAATACCACTGTTTTTAATATGTATTTGGCTACTAGCAGAAATCATCCAAGTTACCTGCCGGGGCAAACAAGTGATCGGCATATATTGTCTATTACATTTAAAAGAGAATACGCAATCTTTTGTAATAGGCATAGGCTTGCCAACTAAGTTACCCAGCGGGTGAAACATATTCACGGCGAAATAGTCATCTCGTACAGCCGAGATCCTGGGTCTCTGCATGAGGGTATTATTAGTGAAACAATCCGTCGCGCAGACTTTCTGATCCAATTCATAAATCAGTGTGACAATTCTAAATGATCTAAAGAACGAACCTGGATTGCAAGTAATTTAATTTTTGGTTTTGTTTTCGGCTGAACATCGGATCTCACTTCTTCGTCATTGTCGCCTCCAATCCACAAATCTTTATCGTCGTTCGGCATTTCTAAAAAGATAGTAAAATAAATCTTCCCTGTTCATAGAATCAGACCTGGGAAAAAATAGGGTATCAGGATCCTGAGGAACGTTTGCCTTTAATAGCAAGAAGATTAAGGAAAATTTCCAACTTTTCATACATATACGTTATGGGCGAATCTTAAGAAATAGTTATATCATACTTCCTTCATGTGAAACATGTAACATAAATCCAGTATACTTTGTTGGTACATACATGGTGGCGTAATGTACAGCAACGCACTTTTCAGGAACATTTGAAAAAGGCAAATTCAGGATCCGAGGAACATTCAAAATTTTTCCAGGTCTACATACAAGAGTTGTAACGAGGCGCGTGGCTATTGAGAATCATTTTTTTGTTTAATATAGCTAATAGCCCTAGGGACTCTCTAAGCGGTTCGAAGATCTGTCTAAGAACACTTTCAGTCTAGTGTTTGTGTTTCGTAAACCAAAACCTTAAGCTATATATATATATATATATATATATATATATATATATATATATATATATATATATATATATATATATATATATATATATATATATATATATATATATATATATATATATATAATATATACAGGAATCGTGCCAAAAACAACAACGGTATAGTGTTGTAAATGACATTTTCTTGACCTTTATAATCGTACCTGAGGGTTACTACCGTTACTGGCGAGCAAAACACCTGAGAAGTTCCATATGAATACGATAATTTGGTGTGGTAAATCGAGCATCTTCGCTATCTGCGCTGGCCCATCTCCATAAACATACTCCTATCTCTCTCACAGGCGTTTCATGATCGACACAGTTGCAGGAGAGAAAAACTGTGAAGCCTTTCTTGCATTTCTTGCGCCATTCACAGATTCGCTACATAATATTTTGGCGCACGCCTCTGAATTAGTTAACTGCCTGTAGCGGTGGAAGTACAGTAAACATCCCTTAGGGAGGAAATCTCTCTCATGGAGGGAGCCAATTTTGTGAGTCAAACTGACTAGTGTCGAAACCACGCAGATCGCTCCCTAAATGGAATACATGTGAAACACATGGCTCTAATAACCCACGCGCACTTTTCCCCAGCGGAACACTTCCCAAAAACAGACATCACAATAGCCATACACCTTTCCCCTAGAGGAAAACTACCCCATGCACGAAAGATTGTGAGACACTTCTCCAGGGAAGGCATTTCTTAATGCGGTATACAACGTTACGATATACCGCCTCTTAAAACGTCAACTGACTGTAAGAAAATGCTTTCTCTTCCTAAATGAATACCTTCCAATACTTTCAGTGCCTTTTCGCTATGGCCCAGTCTCTGATACAAGGTGGAAAGTGTAAATCTTGCTTCAGAATGAGTGGGAGCGAGAGAAACGACCCAGGAATAAGCCTCCGCCGCTTCCTCTTCTTTGCCTAATGTTGACAGACATTCTGCTTTCTTCAGCCAAACGGCAGCCTAAAATTTACAAAAATAACTTTATTCCTTAGCGATATTGGCACTAAAAAATCAGAAAGAGTGGATATTGTAAGCAGCTTAATGACAGGCTGTAAGACCAGACACTTTGGGTTCGATTCCCATTTGGAACATTCTGAAATTCAAGTTTCAACATGTGGTTCGACCTCATTTGAACAGCCCGACTTATACTAGTGCTACCCTGCTCGGGACAATAAGCAATACACTATCATTCCAAGTTAGCCTACATCGTCCCCAGATCATCTGTGAAGCTCGTCCGTCGTAGATACACTGTGTTACTGCATATATATTTAGACTGTTTCATTCGGACGCCCCAATAGCTCAGTCATCAGAGCGCTGGAAAGTTGAATCAGAAACCATGGATTTATATTTTTCCAAGATGGGTCATTCGAAACCAGTTTCGTATCCGACCCGCTTTTCTGATCCTATCAATCCGAAATGTATCTACTGCAAGCTAGACCTTCAATCTGATTTGGACGTCTGAACTTGTCGCAGTATTACTTTATCTTATATAAAATAAAATTAACTTACAGTGTTAACATGCATGTATATTAGTGGTACAGTCTATCGTTTTATAATAAAATGTCCGCAGCATGTATTTTACCTGCCCAAATTGTTCAGTTTTCACCAGAGGATCCAACAAAATTAAAGCTTCTTCATACAAGCCTAGAATAGGAATTCGTCATTTCAAGAAATACTTTACCATTATTATGGTCGCCATATCTTCACATAATCACAAGATTAGTGTTTGGATTCTTGATGACAATTGGCAAACAAATTAAATATGTGCAGGGTCTTACATTATTCTTCCACCTGTGTAGGGTCTTACATTATTTTCCCACAAACGTTATGGTACGCCCAAACTATTGTACACTTGCACTTATAACACAAGGTCTTAGCTATGGAATTCCATGCATGCATGCCCCTCAGAAAGGAATGGTCTGCCTTTAGTAACTATGATCTTGCTTCGGGCGTGCCCATGCATAGGCATGCATGCATGCATGTCGTTTAGGTGTGGATATGGTCATGAACTCCATCAGAAAGTGGTGGGTCAATGTGGGTGTGCCAAATAAGGAGAATCGAAGACTCTATAAATATAACTTCACTACCCACCAGTCTCACAGTAAGCATCGGCAATGTCCAAATACAAATCTCCAACCTCTTCAATGGGTTCCAAAAATATCGGTGAAATAACGTCCTATAAAGATTATTTCAGATATGATCGATATCGACGGGACAGTTTACTAGAGTGTATTACTTAATATCTAACAAACAACTTTGAACATGACTGTTTCTGGGTGACCTTGCATTGCATGTTGGCTATAGATAAATTTACATACCCTATTCCCCCGCATATAGGCGCCCCGCAGATATAGGCACATGTGCTTATATCTGAATATGAGTACTTTCAATAGACTGAAAATCATTTTTTGTGTCAGAGGTACTTTAATTAAACACACACGAAGTTAAATTGGAACACATGTTAAACCGGAAAGTTGCTTAAAAATACTAAATTTGCACTTGTTACCGTTAATAGGTTGTTAAATTGGGAAGTTTTTAAAAAATATTAAATTTACATTTACCGTTTATACTAACGTTGTTTTCTCCGCTATTAAAAAGGATTCGCCAATTTTCGTACCCAGACCCCATGCGCGTAGTTGGAGACAAAAATCGGGTTCCCCTATAAGTGAATTTTTATAGGCGCATGTTTATAGCCTATAACCCATCAATGTTTACTCCAAATTTTTCCCAAAATCGCATAAGATCCGCCTTATAGGCGCTGCGCTTATGCGGGGGAATAGGGTAAGTATCTTGAAATCAAAACTTTACGATTTTTGTATCTGCGCGGAGCGCTAGATACTATGCTATCGAGTTGTGGGGGTGTGTGTGTTCGTGCGTTAAACACTCAGGTCGACTAATTAGGGCTGTACGCCTGCGAACAGGCCGTAAAACAAAGATGGCGGCTTTCTATAGAGTGACGAATATATTATATTTTGCTCTGGCTATGTATATAAGTCAAAATTCTCCGATAAAGACTTTTTGTTATATCTTAGAAGATGCCCAAAGTAACATCGTAAAGCTTTTAGGTGAGTAACCGTACATGCTTTTTTAATAATATCGATTGTCTATTAATAATTAATATATACTGACTACTGACAGTATGGGATGTCTAAATTTTGTTTACATATGGTACATTTTATATATAGTCACAGCATTCAGAATTATTATGTTACGTTAAAATTTTGTTATATGGTGCATTAGTCACAGGGCATCTTAGGATTATAGGATTGCTTCATAAGCTGAGTTAAAGTTAATAAAATTTCTTTACAGATTGTATGTATTTTTTTCATTTAGCATACATTTATAAATGTGGGTGCAGTATTTACCTCGGCAATTTTGTACCCATTTCATACATAACTCTTATTATTATATACACAAGGTCTGGATATGAGGTATTCTGCAATCTGATTGGTTCTCTACTAGCAGGATATTAGCTCATATCCTGCTGGTAGAGGAAAACAAAATGGCGGCCAAACTGAATTTACGATGTTTTGCAAACGAGAAAACGGCAAGTTGTCGCTTTTTATTGCCTTCATAGGATTAAAAACACAATGAAAAAACTCCCACAAATTGTTTTCAGGTTAGCAAATAAATGTTTAAAATTTAAAATGGTTAAAAATATATATGTTTGAAAAAATAATCGGCCGAAACAGCGAAGATAAAAACATAAACAAAATAGAAAAATATTGAAAATATTCGAAAAGCAAAGTCTGTGAATTCAGACCTTGTGTATATAATAAAACAGTTATTCCACTCACTCTCGTCGAATATGAGCGATAGCCGATTCGGCGCTACGCGCCTCATCGGCTATCAGCTCATATTCGACTCGAGTTCGTAGAATAACTGTTAAATATTCAGTTTGTATTATAAACAATGGTTGCTTTGTGATAGCGTATACGGTATAGCGCTGCATGCGGAAAGTGAAACGCCGGTCGGGTTTTGTTTTGTCTGACTTAGCTTTTTTTTCTTAGTCACTATATAGCCAGCAGTTTCCTAAATAGCTGTATAGTCACTTCGAAATATAAATGTTTACTAATAATTGTGAATGAAATTTCATAGTAACCATGGAATTCCATTGCGCAGATACATGTACGCCTAGCGTACCTATTTTTAACTTTGTTCAAATTACACTTTACTTTACCAGGATAATTATTACTGTTATCATTATATATCAGAATATCACGACGAGCAACACGACGAAACTACAACCAATAGGCTCAGTACATTGTATCTGTAAACCCTCACTGACAGATTTTAAATCAATGAAATGCCTAGATAATGTTGAATCCAACAAAACATTGAAAGTATAACACAAATAGACTGGTGCTGGTATTTGTGCCGAAATACAAGGCATATTCCTAATTCCTATAGGTAAATCATTGATGCTCAAAACATAACAGACAGGTCATAACAGACAGTAACGCATTGTACAGTTGGTGTGGAAAGCTGACATCGAAGGGAATATGTCAGTCTCGTAGTTTGTCCATTTAATTTTGTCGCATTTTGTTAATATGAAACAATGTTGTGCATTAAAAGATCAAATACACACATTTCTACGTACATGCAACGTGTCATTCAAAAAGTTGGTGCCAGAAAATGCGCTGGGAAGGTAATCGATCACGTCATTATAGTGATGGCTGCATGACTACCATTATTGCATCGCATTTTTTAACTAATTGTATAGAACTATACTGCGGTATTTACCCCATGCAGTAGGCCCTTTGCTTGCCCCAGTGGTGAAGTAAGATTTTTAGATGAGGTTGAGAAAGTTGCCTGCTTTCACATATTCTCTCACATTTTCCACATCCTATCTTATAAAAGTCAGTACAGAATTGTCTTAATAAGAATGTACACTGAACTGTATGGGGAAAAGGCCCTCATTAAGACTTTGTCCCTGTTGTAATTTCTTACAAAATGCACTGTACCGAGATTACTGCAACTAACTTCCTCACCTGAATTTTCTCTGGCTTTGCCTTACTGTGAATAAGACAAACAGACATCTTGGCTCTAATATCAACTGGAAGTTCTTCTGGTACATCAAATGGGTAATCAGAAAGTCTGTCTTTCATAAGATCTTCTTCCGAAAGAACTTCAGCAGCATTTACCAGGGAATTGCAATATTCAGAATCCACAAACTGGATGTTGCAATACTGACATATGACCTACAAAAATCCAGGTTTGCACGATTATTATATACCAAGCTAAACAAGACAGTGTGGACACTCGTAGAAATTCTTCAAATATTGGATTGAGGAACTATCTGCATGGCATCGGACTAATTTACATATATTGGAATAACGACATATCTAGATGATAAATTACATCATTATACTGTCAGCCATTGGTAAGAAATACTAATTATACTTGAGACTTAAGTACAGATAAAAAATGTAACAGTAACCTCGACATGTTTATACTTCCCTATACCTTAACGTGACCAAACCATGTTGATATATGCTACTGTATTCATATATGACTTTCAGTACCTTCTGTGAAACTGTTGGTCTGCTATTTAGTGAAAACTGCTCTTATGTAATCAACGAACTACAGTACGTGGTGCAAAAAAGGAACCACATTGCCCAAAGGATACTGTATGTATGACCTTATCTGGGGCCAGTGGCAAGAAATTGATTTTCATGTTTAAAGCTCTTTAATGGGGTCCAGATCCATAGTTTCACCACTTTTTACGCATATTTATCTGGCCTTCGGGGCACAATCCCCCCCCCCCCCCTCACTCCCTCCAAAATTGTGCAGACAGAACACATGCATGTGCAACTATGCTTCACCCGCCTTATTTCTTTGTCAAAGCATGCAATTAATCCTTCCCTCTTAACACGGCATTCAATGCTTGCGATTTATCTTATACATTGAACGGGGGTGGAATATAAAAACACCTGAATATATTTATTACGAGTGCGGGTTAATCCACATAATTTTTCCAGGATTGTAGATTTGCATTTTAACTTACTTAATATATCACTGAGGTTTAATACTCACTTGAAATGCTTTGTGAAACTTTCGAAGTGACATGTAGAGTTCAGACAGGATATTCACATCTAGAAAAATGATAAAGTTAAACACTCTGAAGCACTCGTATATATAGTAAACAGAGGCAAACATTCATGCAACGAGCTCGCGCCTTCAGCCTCTAGTATGGAATGAAAGTGTTGCAACACGTCCAGTGCACAACGGGTTAATTTGGTGAACAAGGTGGTGCACCATTTTTCAATTCGGGTATCTCTGGTGCATTATTATAATCGCCAACTCAGGGATATTTTCAAGCACTTTTCTCTTACCGGTATACGGTAGTGAATACTCAATCTTCAACTGAGTTTTGAAACTCAATCTTCCCCCACAATGATTTTTTTTCACAATTTGATTTTTTTAATGTAAATGTTCCATTAAAAACCTGTTTTTCTATACAATTTTGTTCAAAAAGCTGTCGAAAACCGTTTCACTTCTGAGATACAAAATCTCGTAGAGGAACTAGAAATGTGTACCACAAACGGGGTCGCACATTACGGGGGGTGTGACACCCCATAATTTTGAGAAATAGTAAAAAAAATCTGTCCAAAATGAACCATTTGTCGGTCCCGATCGTCCGGTACAAACATTACGCAAAATTATTGTTTCCGTGAGATTTATTTTTTGAACAGTGTCTAAAAATAATAAGTAAGGTTACAGAATTGCTAATTGTCATTATACACTGCCTGAATCAACTTCCTTTCTGTGCTCCACAGCCAGCTGATGGCAAAACTAAAGTCTGAAAATGCCATTTCCGACGATCTAGAGACTTCAAAGTTTCAAAACTTTCCCGCTCGGCGCCAACCATGGTGCATGTGGCGCCTCGAGGAACTCCCCTTTCCAACATGTAAACACGTAAAAGTCGTTTATTTTACACCCCTCCAAAATATTTTGGAATGTGCGCTCCCTGACCACAAAATATTTTGACGTTCTCCCCCCCCCCAAAAAAAAAGAAACTCAATCTGAAAAACGATAGTAGACTAAAGTGCTTGAAAATATCCCTGCCAATTGAAAATTTGTTAAATTTATTAAAAGGCCCTAAAACTTCCAGTTGAAGGGTATTGTAGATGGGAATTATCGAGTGGAAATTTATATACATTTATTAGACCTAACCAGGAACAGAAGCGAAAAATGCAACTTTTTAGGTCCCTGGCAGGAATCGAACCTGCGGTCCTGCGATTCCGGTGCAGCGCTCGAACCAACTGAGCTACAGAAGCCTGTTGTTGAGTTCTAATCGCAAGTTCATGTATATATACTAGGGTACTGCCATGTGTAGATTAGGTGTTCAATCGAGTGAGATGCCCACAAAATCTTGATATTTATTTCCTTAAAAATGCAGGCTGTTTCCAAGGTGTAAATCTCAAAACGAAGTTCGGGTTTCGCCAAACACACATCTTCGTTTTTATTTATTTTAATCTAATTTAAACAGATGACCTTATAGAATACAACTTGTACAGTAAAATAGACTTCCTCTTAAAATATTATGTATTATTATTATTATTATTATTATTATTATTAACTTGTAAATACTGCTTTGTTTACAACTATTATGGGAGTTCAGGAGCTGTAGTACAAATTATATTATAAATTGTATACTTGTTTTGTTATGGTATATACCAGAGACGGATTTTCATATTTTCGTTCGGGTGTGTGGATAAATATCTGGGGGGCTGCTGCTTGCTTTGGCCGGGGCCTGGTGGCAACGCCCGGAAAGGCCAAGAATAAAGCTCAACAAAATTTGTTTTCTAGGCCTGCATGGCGAAATCTGAGACCATAATATTGGTAATTTTACAAATTTAGTAGTAGGAATAATCAAATATGAAACTATCAAATCAAAATATATATAATTTGCGGGGGTGCAAAAACGTTTGGGGGCGGTGCCAAATGCCTCTGGGTGTGTGTGCAAATAATTTCTGGGGGGTCCCCCCCCCGGAAAATCCGTGCCTGGTATATGCTAAATTATGGTATTTGTTATGGTATAGTATGACTCGGTGTCGGTTTCGTGAATATTTCTCTCGAACCCAGCCTAGTCGTTTTCGGAAACTTCAACCAGCTTGAACGTCGAACATAGCTATATATAGATACTGCCTGGAAGTCACGGGTACGTAAAGCTAACCTATACAGGGTCGCCGAGAGGTTGCGCGGGGCCCAGGGCAAAACATCCCCAGGAGCCCCTATGACGTCATAAAACGTTCCCAGGGGAGAAGCTGTGTTTTACAGATTTGTTAGATTACGCATTATTATATCAGATGCATATTATCCAGCACTGAGTCACTGACGCAGTTGAGGTTTATATTCTCGGTTAAGCATCTTGTATCAATAAACGGCCTTTCTCGCTTTGGGTACCCCTTTAATTTTGAGCTGCCCTCCCCCCGTCTCCTCTCGGCGGGCATGCTAATCCATGCAGCAATCATAAACGGCGAAGTAAGAGACGGAACCTGGGACTAAGCTCTCTTGTGTTGCTCATATCACAATTTTCATATATTACATGTACCTTCAAACTTTATCTCATCTGGATATTTTTTAAATGCTTTAACCAACACTTCGATTGCTTTCTCATCTTGACTTTCACCATGATATAGCTAAGACGAAAAAATAGGACACTTTCAAACAATGTATGTAAAGCCTGTATTTTCTTTGCTTCAGTAAACGTATTATCTCGTCCGTTCCAAAACATAAGCAAGCTGAAAACATAATATTTTGTCCGTTTCAAAATATAAACCTCGTCGAATATACGTTTATCGACTTTGAAAACATGGCAAGGTCAGAACGTACCCCCCCCCCCCGTATGAATTCGTTTTACATAACATGACTTGTGCCACAAGTTGCGTTGCAAGTTGCAGCAAAATGGCCTTTTCTAACCTGAGCCATATTCTTAGAAAAAGCAAAATATTTTGCTCCATCATCTGGCAAAACCTAAAGAAAGAAAAAAACAACATATATATGTATGCATGGAAACAAACTAAAGATAGTGACGTAGTAGTATATTAATTGTAGTGATGTCATCAAGACTCCCCACGGACACGAGCGAGAGCATGTGCATATAAATGGCGGACTACATATTACATTGCATAATAATTACGTTGTTGTTGCTATTGACGTTATTGTCAACAAATAATGGAAAACTAACTGCACACACAGAGAATCATTATTGTACCCACGCCCTTTTATCTTCGCCCCAACCTTGCTGGAGAACAGCTATAGTAATCTTATTATGACTTGGTTTCTTGTTGAAGCTGATCTATTATATACATTATTTTCTAGTTGAGTCGGTTTTCTTTCATGTACCGCGGGATGAATACAGGTTATAACCCGTGAATAAATAATTAGATTAAACTTGTCGACAAAACTCGAAAAATCTTTATGGATAGTCTTTGAAATTAATGAAATCTTGTTCGAAAACTTCCTCAACTAGAAAATAAGTCGGTTATAAACCTCGAACTTGGGATATATAAATCATATATTTGCCCTTGGGCCCTGCGGCGCCGCAAATTTTTTTTCCGTAGACAGTCGGACTCCTCATTGATCGTCGGACGCATCATTGACTCGCGCCCTTAAACAAAACATTCAGCGGATACTCTTCTTATTAGATGCGCCTTCCCAGTGTGTCTTGCGCACGCCACTGGTGATTTCAAAATATTGTATTGCTTGGTTGAGATGTCAAAATCTGAGCAGGACACATTGTGGCTTCGTATCTTGTGTGGTGGTGACATCCGACATATTTTATTAAGTTATATTCGCCATTCCCACTTGCTTTTCTTTGCTTTTGTAACTGATTTTTGTAACTCTTTTCTTTGCTTTTGTAACTCTTTATAAGTTTCATTGTTTTCGATTCCATAATTCTGAAAAAACATTGCAATATCATCCGGAGCGATTGCAGAATACCCATTTCTTAAGCTATGCCTTTCAAACATCATGGATACGATGTATTAATACATCTAATACATTAAGACCATAGTCATGACTATTAAGACTATGGTGAAGACTATTAAGACTAAAGTCATGACTATTAAGACTATGGTGAAGACTATTAAGACTATAGTCATGACTATTAAGACTATGGTGAAGACTATTAAGACTATAGTCATGACCTTCAAGACTATAGTCATGACTATTAAGACTATAGTAAAGACTATTAAGACTATAGTCTTAATAGTCTTTACTATAGTCTTAATAGTCATGACTATAGTCTTAATAGTCATGACTATAGTCTTAATAGTCTTCAGCAAAGTCTTAATAGTCATGACTATAGTCTTAATAGTCATGACTATAGTCTTAATAGTCTTCACCATCGTCTTAATTGTCATGACTATTTAACAATTAGTCGCCGAAGGCGAGGTGATTACAAGCCTATATTCACTGAGCCGAAGGCGAAGTGAATATAGGCTTGTAATCACCGAGCCTGAGGCGACTAATTGTTTTAGTATAAATTTCCAGGTGTTTACAAACAATAATCCACACAACTTTATAAAAATTCACTTCAAATAAATTTATTTTCAATGTAAATAGTTTGTTTACAAAATTTAAATCTCAGACACGGCTCTGTGACACAGACTGTGTCGCGTTGCGACTAAGCCAGTTTTTTTCCAAATAAAAGCACGTAAAGCTTAATATTTTACCTTAAATATTTTTAAACCATATTTTGTAGCTTGTTTGGGTTTTTTCGGAATGCTATCTTTAATTTTGGCAATTTCCTCTTCTGCCTACTACGGCAAAACGAGCAGCCATTTTGAGAAAAAAAGCTATAGTCACTGCATGACCAGTGACTATCACTTCAGAGACAGTGAATCTTGACCAATCAGAATGCAGAAAAATCAATAGTCACCTGGAAATTTATACTAAAGTCTTAATAGTCTTCACCATAGTCTTAATAGTCATGACTATAGTCTTAATAGTCTTCACCATAGTCTTAATAGTCATGACTATAGTCTTAATAGTCTTCATCATAGTCTTAATAGTCTTCACCATAGTCTTGATAGTCATGTAGTCTTAATAGTCATCACCACAGTCTTCATAGTCATGACAATAGCCAACGGGATAAATATACCTCTTCACCCTTGCTTTAAATCATTTTACTCTTGAGAAGTAAACATGTCTTATGAATGCGACATCTGCGGTAAAACGTTTGCAAATGCGAGTAATCTCCTTCGCCAGAAGAAGGTTGTCCATGCATATGGAAATCGTAATGTTGGGCAACAAATTCTTACGGTGAATGGAGTTACAGTCATGCAACACCCTTTCACGTGCATCGTAGCTGGGTGTACACAAAGCGGCAAGACTGTGTGGGTGAAAACTCTTTTGGAGAATTCACAGAAAACTATAAGTCCACCGCCTCAACGTATCATCTGGTGTTATGGTCAATGGCAACCCTCCTATTTTGATATGATGAGGACGATGCCTGGAATCGAGTTTAATGAAGGTATCCCCGACGATATCGACAACGCAGATTACTTGGACGTATCTCAACGGAATTTGATCGTATTGGACGACCTTAAGGCTCAATCTGGTAAAGATAAACGTATTGCTGATCTTTTTACGAAAGGAAGCCATCATCGAAATTTGTCTATCATCTATATTGTCCAAAACATATTTCACCAGGGCAAAGAAATGAGAAATATCAGCCTTAACGCTCATTATATCGTGTTGTTCAAATCACCAAGAGATAAACAGCAAATTTCTATGCTTGCCAGGCAAATAAATCCCGGGCGAGTGCAAGAGTCTATGAGGAGTTTCACTTATGAACATGCCACGAGTCGACGTCATGGGTACTTGATGTTGGATTTAAAACCAACAACAGACGATCAACAACGACTTAGACCAACGTACTTCCCAGCGAGATTGCAAAGTTTTTACAAAAACAGTCGTATCGTCAACCGCTACTTGATCATACAATGTATGATACCGAACAGAGAATGAAAGAAATCATGGAAGCGCCACAACTTTCTGTGGCGGAAAAAAGCAAGCTTTACTCTGATCAACTAAATCGGTTTCTCACATTCAAAAATAAGATGGATGTCCCGGTTCACTATCACGAAGCTTCTGTTCAGAGAACTCCTACTCCCGTATCTGCTGAGATACAACCACAACCACAAGTGCTTCCTACTCCTGTACCAGCGAAAATACCACCACCAGTGCCTGCCACTCCTAAACCTAATTTCCTTACGCCACCACCAACAGAAGAGGAACGACCAAAACTCAAGCGCAACGTTTTCACAATTGGGTAGACTCTGCTGATTGGAAAGAAAGTGACTTGGCTATGATGAAACCAAAGGAAAGAGAGCGGTATGAACGTTTTTTACTAAACGAAAGGCCAAAATATATTCCAATGAAGCATGAAGATGTTGCAAGGTTATCCCCTGAAGAGAGACAAGAGTATGAGAAATTAAAAAAAAACCCAAAAACACCCAAACGTTATGCTCTTAGCAGTAGACCGTACTAATAAATGTATTTTAAAACTGAAATCTTGTGAGATAAGAGATAAACAGAGATAAACAATTACGAGATGCCTGCGGAGGAGGCTACTTAGATCAAATGTTTTGACAATTTGTAGCTATGCTAACATGGGACGCTAATTAAAACGCGAAAAGTGCTGAGCTCAGCGAAAACAGTGACTGTTCGCCTGAACATGCTCACGACCGCCCGTAATAATATCCATTGCATATATTAAGTGAACAAACCCCACATGAGATCCACCACCTCACTGGCCCTCATTCTATGCTAATGATAATGCGCCACCACACACCACCACCACACACCACCACCACACACCACCACCACCACCACACACCACCACCACACACCACCAACAACACCACCACCACCACAACCACCACACCCCACCACCACACCCCACCACCACACACCACCACCACACACCACCACCACACACCACCACAAAAAAGGGGCTCGAACGGCCTGTATATTACTATTTATGGTGCACCAGTGGGTTACGCAGGGTACGAAGGGATCCATCGATAACGCGCGGAGGCCTGAACGCAGATGAATGATGCGTCCGACTATCAATGAGGAGTCCGACGGCGGCGCCTCGGGTAAATATATGACTTATATCCCGCGTTCTCGATTTATAACTCTTACTTAAATTAAAAAGGTTAAAATATACTTAAATTTTCGGACGCTAACTGCAACCTTCCTCACTTTTGGAGCCTTAAATAGCTACTGAACAATGACTATGTAAATTTACACCGAGTTTATACATTCAGGAAAGGTTACAGTATGTGCTCATTAATAGCTCTATTGTATTTCTTATGTATAAAGTCAACACAATGCATGACATTATTACCTTTAGTATATTCTCGTACACTTCCATTTTTTTCTTCGGTTGTTTCAGATTTTCGTAAATTGAAGCTTTTGTCATGAGGATATCGACATTAGTAGGATCTTTCTTACTTGCTAAAATTGATTTGAAGAGAAAACCCATTTAAAGCAAGAATTCGAGAAAACTACAATATGTGACTACAGGTTAGAAAGAAACCATGCCATATACAACAGCTAGTATTTAGCACATGCATGAGTCACTTGAAAAAGTTATTATCTTAAAGAGTTATTTCTGCATTATTGATAAACTACTGTCATTTTATGAGTGGTGACCTTAGCAGAAACACGATGAAGTCTAGCGTAGGAAAATATAACTGTATTTTATGAGTTTTTTAAAATTAATTAATTTTACAACTATAACAATTGAAGGCTCAGAAAACAGGACAAACAAAGTCCTCATTATACATGTACAGTATATACTGTACTCTGTAATTAAAATTCGCTAAAATGAACTTTTAGGAACAACAATTTAAAAAACAAGAACGACACCTTATGTTCCTATTCTGTGACGACACTTAGAACAAAATCTTTTCCGGGTCCTTGGTCTATCAACATCAAAACATGCATTACGTTTCTGAAATTTGGATGCGAGTGACAGTGTATGTAGCGAAATATACAATTCGTTCCAAACGAAGCTCTAAATCGTTATTAGGTGCATCATACACATAAGCCCACAAACACGTATTCCAAGGACCATAAAAAACTCATTCTTCTTTTTGTTCAATGACCTCTACAGTATCAAACCTATATATGGTTTTTCTAATAAACAGACCTTCAGCAAAACATATCAGAGCTTCCTGTGAGTTTCCTTTCTTCATGGATATCTGACCTAGTTCAATCCATTCCTCACAATCAACAGCTCCCAAATGAGCAGCAATTAACTTGTACTAAAACGTATGGTAAATATGTCACACAAGTAAACAAGTATAGGAGGGATTAACAATACGGACATGTGACTGTCCACCGAAACTTTGGAGAATGTGGTGTATGTATTGTTTTGAAAACAACAAGAAACCCCAAAAGTTCATATGCATATGAGCCGTAAAGGTACAGTATCTCACTTGGCGAGAAATACCCATTACAGCTAGTAAAATTGCCCAGCATGTAAGCTATTCTCAGATCAATTTCATTGAACTGTGTGATGGCATAAATATGCTTGGAAGACACAGTTTTTGTTAAAAGCTGTTGGATCATGCAAGATGACAACGCTTTAAAAAAAAAAACTTCACCATAGTCTACATTTAAGGTTCATACAGTAGTCTTAGCCTCTTCCGCAGGCATCACCTTTAGATTGGCGGGCAGAATCTGGTTGCGGGAAAAAACCCTCAAATTTCTAAACCCAAGCAACACAGGTGAACTACGAGATGCCTGCGGAGGAGGTTACAGTAGTCAGACAAGGTAGTATAGCCTGGAATTTATCGCTCATTGCTTCCTAAACATTTGACTGCGAAATTAATACAACACCTGGTGGGCTTTTTCTGGGTCATTCTTTTCTTCACAAATGAATGCAAGGGTTTGAAATGGTTCAGGACAACGAGGAGCTGAAATAAAAACATTATGTAGTGAATTCACCAACCATGACTCCAAAATAGTGTACGTCAATAATTAATAACCGACCAAGTTTGACGCCCAGCCATAGTGACTATACTCACATTTCTTATTGTGATTTTTGCAACTGTGTTAGTATCTGGCCAATTAGCCTTTCTCACGATGACGAATATCCGCCATTTTTGGGTGGCATCTAATTCTTGTTAACCAATGCAGACAATTGAAACAATGTGCAAAGCAATTTTTCAAAATAAACTAACCATTTACAAAGCAAATTTATCATCATTCGTCCAAAAAATTATAAAAAGTCACTGTTATGTGGACTTATCTCGCAGACTTCGGCTGAAGTGCCACCCAAAGATGGCGGCGTGAGAAAGGGTAATTAGCGACGAATTAGCTTACAGTGACGTAATGGTCCCTATAGAACAAAGACAATCCAAGATGGCCGCTACAAAGTGTTGATAAAATACATTTACAAATGTTACACAAATGTTCGCATTCAAAAAGAGTTTGCACTCGTTGTTTAACGAAAAGTTGCCTCTTGCAAACGGTTGTACGTTTTGAAGGGAAGGCAGGTAATATTTGTTGCAGTTGACATGACCAATCAGAAAGTTCCTTCAACCAGTTTCAATTAACGGAGCGGATACGATGACGGTCGCAACATGAAACGTCACTTTTCGGAACTCTAATTTTTGATATGTCCATTTTAAGGTCCATCATACAGACCGGACGCGATTTGGCAACGAGACGCGATTTTTTAGTTTTTGAAAGTTAATAAAACAGCCAATGAGAGCAAATTTTGAAAGATATGTAGACCAAATAACTCAAAATGTTATAGGGCTTCTAAAAATTTGGAAAATTCAAACTAGGATCAAAGTTATCGGTCAGTGAAAATCAAAAAATCGCGAATCGCGTCCGGTGTGTCTGGACCATAACAATTGTTTTTGTGTTGAGAACAATAAAGTTGCTTCGTCCTTCAGAAAGGCTTCGTCCAAATGAAGGATGTTTTCTGAAGAATT